TTTATGAGCTTTCTATGTTCACCGAGAATCATGCCCTTTATCAAAATAAGATTTTAAAATCCCATTTAAAGCACTTGATCTAGAATGTGACTTTGTCATGTATTACTGTTGCCTTACCTGCTTTAATTTATGTTTGCATTTCCTTTTAGATTCAACATTTTTCCTTTAAAATACTGGAATACAGGCAAACAAAATGAAGAGATAATTTAGGAGTGTTTCTCTCACATACCGTTCTGCCTTCAAAGTACTTTGTATATACAACACACACATTAGACTTTTAAAAACAGTAATCTGAACATTTTTGTCATCTGATAAGATTGATGAACCTGCTTCTACTTACAACACAGGTTAAGCTTACAACATTAGGTTATATTTGTCATTCTGCTTGGTGCTCTTTCATATGCTTCACCACAATTTTTTCTTCCTTCTGTTTTCTGGTGCACTGTAGACCACATTTTCTTTGCGCTCTCTCCCCTGCCCGTCAGTGTTTGCAGTTCTGCTAATGCTTCCTTTTCAGTTCTTAAACATAACATGGTTGAACTTATATTTCTCCTTCAGTAATGATAGCTAATGTTGAGTGTTCCTACACGATTTTTTCTTTTATTTGTTTTTATTTATTATTATTTCATGTGTGCGAGAGTGTGGGGACAGGCACATGGTGCACTTGTGGAGGTCAGAGGACAACTTTCAGGAGTCAGTTCTCGCCCTGCACTGTGGGATCTGGTGATGGATCATTAGACACTCATGGCAAGTGCTTTTACCTGCTGAGCCATCTCACCTCCCCCAGTTTGAACTTTTGAAAAAAATATTAATATATACGTATTACATATATGTGAATATGCAGTTCAATACATACATTGAATTTTTGTGCATTTCATGCCATATATATTAGTCATATTTAGACCCCCTCCTCTATCTGCCCCCCCATTGCCTCCCCACTGAATTTCAGCATTCTGTCATATATGTTAAGGCCTATTGAGTCAAATTTGTGCCCCCAGTTGTCCCACAGTGTGAGTTCATCCACTGGAGCCTATCTAGCATCACTTCCTTAAAGAAACCAACTCAGGCTAGAGAACTAGCTCATTAGTTAAGAGCACTGATTGTTTTTGCAGAGGACCTGGGTTTGGTTTGCAGCACCCACACGGCAGCTAACAACTTTGCATAATTCCAGTTCCAGAGCACCCAGCACCCTCTTCTGACCGCTGTGGGTGTTGAGTGATATGAGTGCACATAACATACATGCGGGGAATACATATAAAATTAAAAAAATTTAAACACAAAATTAAAAGACATAAGTTCTTAAAAATTATGTGAATACTTGTGGGGGGGGCCGGGGTACAGGTGAGTACTATTGCCTGAAAAGGCCAGAAGAGGGTGTCAGCTTTCCTGGAGCTAGAGTTATAGGCAGTTGTGAGCTGCCAGATATGGGCTGTCCTCTGCAACAGCAGCAGGTACTCTTAACTGTTGAGCCATCTCTACAGGCTCTGTTTTTATTTTTCCATTTTATTTTCTTTTATTACTTTTTGTTTTGTTTTGTTTTTTGTTTTTGGTCTTTTTTGAGACAAGCTCTCTCTGTAGCACCAGCTGTCCTGGAACTCACTATGTAGACCAGGCTGGCCTTGAACTCACAGAGATCCGCCTGCCTCTGCCTCCCGAGTGCTGGGATTAAAGGCATATGCCACCACTCCCAGCTCTTTTATTACTTTTTAAAAAACTCAGTACTAGATATTGAACCCAGAGCTTCACTCTTGCTAGGCAAGTGTTCTACCACTGAGGTACAACCTCTATCCCTTTATCAGTCTTTTATTTTGAAGCAGGATCTTGCTAATTTGCCCAGGGGGTCCTTGAGCTCCCTTTGTAGCCTAGGTAGGGCTTGAACTTAAGAGGCTGATGCACACACACATACACACATAGAAATATACATATTTTAAAAACTAAATAATAGAAGGCAAGTCCCATTATGTTCATTGAAGAACAGTGGTACCAGGTTTAGAATGACAATCAAACATGTGAGACATGAGATTAGGCTTTACACAGAAGAAACTTAGTAGAAAAGATGGAGGGCAACAATAGCTTGCACAGAGACTTAGCAGAGGTCTTAGAACTCTCCAGCAAAGCTTTGATTTCTCAGTATCCATAATATAATTGTAAGGTCCCGAGAGATGATGCTGAGTGTGCAGGCACTGTACCAACCTTGGAAAACTGTTAGCTCTGGGGTTCCTGAGCTCTATTTACCCTCTATCCTATGTGTACTTGTAAGTGATGAGGGAGAAAGAATGTGACAGAAGCTTGATAGTGCCTCAAAGGTAGAAGGGCAAAATTGGGATATTAACTGATGCTTTCAAGTCTGGTTTCAAGGCAAATATTTTAATGTAGGAATTTGAGTAGGTTTAGGTGTGGAGCATGGCATGGTTATTTACAATTGATGGACAATGTAAGGCAACCATTTTGAAGAGAGATTTTCAAATAGCCTTGGATCAAAGCTTGCTTGATGCTCCATAGAAAAGCTTTGATGAGATAGCCCTGGAATGATCATTTGTTAGAAGTTTCTATTTTCCTGGACAAGAGTCCTGTGAAATGGTAAAGTCCATGCTAAAGTGGACAGTAAGCCCTCTGGGGGTGGATGATTTTATTTCTAAATTTCAAGGAGCATATGACTCCAGATTAAATTTTCTTGTTCTTCATCTTAATCTCTGTCTCCATCTCCGTTTCCTTTCTCTTCCTCCTCTGTTCTTTCTCCTCATCATCTTCCTGCTTTTCTTTGCCTTCCCCTGCTCTCCTTCTCCTTGTCCCCTTTTTCTTTCCTCCTCTTTGTCCTTGATATATGGAGGTTATACTGTTGGGAACAATCTAATTATAAATGTTTAAATGCAGAGACACCTTTTTCTCCTCCTCTATCCCCTCTTTCCTCCTCCTCCTCCTCCCTCATCTTCCTCTTCCTTCTCTTCTTTGACTTTCCTCTCTCTCCCTTTCTCTGTTCCTCCCCCCCACCTTTGTCTCTCTGTGTCTGTCCCTTTCTGTCTCTATCTCTGTCTCTGCCTCCCTCTGTTGGCGAAGGTGGCCTTGAGCTCACTAAGTAGCCCAGGCTCACCTCAGACTCGTGACAATCTTCCTCTGCCTCCAGTGCTAGGATTAAGATGTGAGCCATGAGGCTCAACTCTAGGTCAAATTTTCATGTGCTGTCAGGGGTAGAAAAAAGGTCATAGGACCAAGCAGCTCTCTTTCCTTTCCTTGAAGGTTTTTCTTTCTCCTTAGAGCTTACATATTTCAGTATAGTACAAATAGATTTTTGTCTGTTCATAACCAAATGCTGTTTTCTAAAACTCACTTTAGGACATTTTTTTCTATTTTTTGTTTTATTCAGTTTTTATTGCTGCTGGAGGAAATTATTACATTTAGTAATTTAAACAATAATTAAAATTTTTTGATTTATTTATTTTTATTTTACATGTGTGTATTTTGTGCATGTATTTAAGTGCACTGCCTAAGGAGGCCAGAAGAGGGCACTGAATCCTCTGGAACTGGAGTTACAGAAGGTGGGTTAGCTAGGAATCGGACCCATGTCCTCTGGAAGAGTAGCCAGTGTTCGTAACCCCTTAAAAATCTTTCCAGCCCCTTAAATAATAGTTTTTGAACCTCAAGTTTGAAGTTTGACATGGGTCTGTTTGTTCAAAGACCCATACCTTTATGGGTTGTGTTCCTTTTGAAGGCTGAGGGCATCATTTTCTTGCCCTTTTTCAGCTCCTGGAAGACTCCTGAACTCCTTTATCGATTGTACCTTTCTTTGTCTTCCATGCAATGAGAGAAAGCCATCTCTTCAGTTCTCTGCAGATTGGAAAGGGTTTCTGCTTTTAATCACTAATAATTAGATTGCCCCTAACAGGGTAAGACAGAACAAGCTCCCTGTCCCAAGGAAATCTTCATCTTAATGTGTCTGTGCCCATATAAGGTTATACACTCACAGGTTCTGAAGATGAGTGCACGGGCATCTTGGGGGACCATAGTCTGCCCACCACCTTGCAAGTGCATCCTTCACACATGTAAACAATTTTACGCTACTTCCCTGCCACAATAAATTCACAAATATTATGTTTTCATAAGGGGTGTGTGTGTGTGTGTGTGTTTGTGTGTGTGTGTGTGTGTGTGTGTGTGTGTGCTTGCTTCATTTATTTAACAGCTCATCTATCAAGGAACAAGGTGGGTGGTTTCTCCTTGGCTTTGCTAACATCTGCCTGACTGTGGTGAAAACTTGAGATCTTAAACTGGATAATGTCTATTTGCTGATGCTCCTGTTCTACAGAATTAGCTATGACCACTCTGGTTGCTGAAGTCACTATAACCAGACAGGGGACCACAGGGCATAAGGAGTGGGCAGCCTCTCTAGCATGTTTACAACTAATCCCATTGCTCTGATTAGTGAACAGGTCTTAAAGGTTGTCAGCTGGTGCCCTTGTTTGAATGGCTCTTCCATTTTTCTGTGTGATGCTGTGTTTTTAATGAGCGTTTAAATGGGGAGGCAAGGTAGGAAAAGTCACTGTTACTAGTCATGTTTTTCTGTTAGCTTGGCATCCCTCGGGTAACTGTTTTTCATTTTCTTTCTAGATGTTCCCATCTCACCTTTAGTTCCTAGGCTTGCTGTGCTCTCTGATGCTGGCGACCTTAGGCTTTGCTCTCTAGTGCTCTGAGTGTGCTCTGTCTTCATGGTAACCATGGCATGGTGATGGAAAGAACGTCTTATGGCCATCTTGTTTATAGTACAACTTGCAAACAATGTGCTGGTTTGCAGGCATGTGTAGGAACAGTGCTGTCTGTTCTGCCTCACCAAATTTCTCTTTGGAATATCCCCCTTTTATCATTCAATGCTCAATATGTATCAGGCAGATTGTGTTGGAAAAAGTACTTCTCAAATTATAAGATCTACTAAACATAACCTACATTATTGTTTGCATTGTTATAAAATATTAATAATAAGATATGTCTTTGTTTTACTTGTGCTCCAGACTCATCTCGACATCCTGGAAAAATGTATCAACCCTAGACAAGTCTACTTCCGGCAGGACGTTCTCTGCCAGACCCTGGGAGGGAATCCATGTCCATTGGTGACTATCACAGCCATGCCCGAGTCTAACAGTACCAACCATCTGGAGCAGCTCCGTGAGTAAAATGTGGCCCCTTTTCTTGCATATTTGGCTAAGGGGGCCATGTCCAGTCCTGGGCACACTCTTTCTGCTCTTCTAGAGGAGAAGCTGTATAATGGGTTGAGGGCTTATCTATCTATACAAATACACCATCAAGTCTTCTTGGTATGACATAAAGGGTAAATGTTAATGTCACTCTGGTGTTAAAGAGGGAAAAAATGAATTGGAGACTGTCAGGGAGATGAAATGACATGCTGGAATTAACAGAAGATCACCAATGATGGCAACTCCCTCTCTACAAGCAGAACCAGGGCTTGGAATCACATTCCCTAACCTCTAATCTATATGCTCGTGGTTGTTATGTAATTCTTAGTCCCTATGAAAGAAGGAAGCAGAATCACTGAACCCTGACTAGAGAATTCTCTTTGTAGCCAGAGTACCTAGCTCTGAAGGGCCGAGGATGTGAGAGGCTGTAGCCAAGAACTCTGAAACCAAAGTGAAGATACACTAAGACCACAGATAGACACACTGACATATAGACACATGTGAATACACATGCAGCCTTACAGATACATGGACACACACAGACACACTCAGAAACACAGATCCATGATGTCCTTTAAATATTAGAGTTCAAGGATAAATGTGATTGAGTCTTTACCAACGCACATCAGACCTTAGCAAACGAGAAACTGAAGAGAACATGGAATGATTTGCAATAAAAAGAAATTTCAGAAATGGAAGAGAAGCTTGGAGAATAAAAGCCAAGCTAATTTATCCCCAGAAGATACCCTTACCAGATGAAATGCTAATGATATTCAGGTGACTCTTGGGTGGCTACAAATGTAATTTCTCATACCCCATCAGCTTCTGACAATGGATGCTTAACAACCTTCCTAATCAACAACTGATTATCCCATCTGAATTAATGAGGCCCTAAAATGCTTTAATGAATAGTAAGGGATTTTTCAAAAATTCTCTTATGTGTTTTAGGCCTTTAAGAGCAATTGTTCCAGCAGTCTCACAGTCCTCCGCTTGGCAGATGAGCACAGCTTGGGAGCTGTAGATAGTAGTCTAGGGCAATCTTCACTGGGTAATTATTTGTTTAAGAAAGTGGATGCATGTTAAAACTGTGTTTCTCAAGTTCTGTTCCTAAGAAGGAGGCAAGCAGAGCCTTCATATTTAATTACGATGTAGAGATACCTGTTTTGTATTTTTGTATTTGTTGACCTTGGTACTGTTGTTGATGTTATAACTATAGAGATCATTCGTATTTTGATGGGCGACCTAGAAGCACAGTGAAAGGCCCTAAATAATTTTGTACTCCAATAAACAATTCAGTTAAGGAAGAGAAAGAGGCAGGAAGAAAAGATCTCTTAATAACTTAAAAAAAAATTTATTTAATAACCACAGAATGAGAAGAAGCATTTCATTACAACAACATTGACATACTCAGTAAAAATTTCCAGAGCTAAGATGCATCTCTTTCAAAATTGGCTGTAAACTTTTAGGTTTACAGTTGATTTAATACAATTAAACAATATTGTACTCAGTATAAACCCTATAATATATAAAATTGAATGAGGTTTTAACCTTTAAAAAAGACCTCCATTTCATTATTTAAATATACTGTTTCATACAGAAAAACTCATTTTTAATGCAATTAACACTTAGGTGTTTGCCCATGCTTCTCTAATCTCTATATATCTGATTATTACTAGTCATAGTCATTACTTTCTGAGATCTGTGGCACCTGAGCATGGATATAGAGTCATTAGGTAGATTTCAACGGTAATGTTTTTCACATCTACTAATTAACATGAAGCAAATTTTTACGCTTCTTCCTCAAATATAACTCATTTTTAAAATTTATTGATTTTTTTGTGTATTTCATACAGAACATCCCAAACAATCTTATTCATCTATATCCCCACATCCCAAGTGACACCCTCCCATCCCCCCCCAGCCCGTATACTCTGTCATCCCTGTTAATCACTGTTACTGTCCACTGTGTTGTCAGTGCCCCCAGCTTTTCCCCAGTGCTTGTCCATCTGCTGAGTCTAGTCAGTCTATCCTTGTTTTAGGAAGATCTACTTTTCCTCATCTACCAGCAGGCTATTGCCAATATTCCTTTAAATAAGATTGGGGACTGCTGGTAATTTTCCCAGTTCTGTGCTGGGTTACTGTCTGGGAGTCTCTTGGGCCACCCTGGCCAACAACTCAAAGTAAGGTATCTTCCTGTCTTGCATTGTTTCTTGTTATGTAGCCTTTAGCTATACACATGGACTTTCAAAGAATTATATTGGTCCCTTTAATCTTTGGTTATGTTTTCCTTTTGGGTGTTTAAGACCATACAGTTGGCTCAGATAAACCAATTTATTTTTACTCTTAAGGTCGTTTGAGGATCTGTTCCTCAGGGGTCACATGGGCTTGGGAGGAGCCCCTGGCTCCTTTCTTTTACCAGTTCCACCTATGTGAAGATAAGTCAAATGTCCTGCTCAACCATGGCTGGCTTCACTTGGAAGCATGGAGGAAATGTTTCCTCTGTGTTGACCCTCCTCTTTGTAGACTGGACACTGGTTCAAGTCCATCTGGTAAGTTCTCCATGGCCTCCTTGATCAAGAGAACAGGTGACTCACCAGTTACAGGATATTTTGAGAGGTGTTCCATAGTCCCCTGGAACTTAGTCGATCTTGGAGGGCAAGGAGCAAAAACTGTCCGTTAAGTCCCTCTGACCAAATTAGTATAGGCCTCAAAGTATGGCTGTTAAACATCCAAGAAGGTTAGTTCTACCAGTCTAGTACTTTTAATTACCGTGTGCTATGTAGATAAAGCTTGGGCAAAGACCAAATGTTCTCAGATAAACCTTGACTACACATGTATTATGTTCCTTGAGCTAGCTGTATGTATAATTCGTCAGTATGTTGTTGGAGTAATATGGTTCCTTCTGTTTTTTGTTTTTTTTTTTTTAAGCTAGCTAGGCATTATTTATCTCTTGCATTGTCTAACCCTTCCACCATGGTTTCCCCATTTAAAGTGCCCCCATTCATTTTTCCCATTCCCTCCTCAATAATACCTTTCTCCCATGGTGCCACCTTTCTTGAGCTCCTTTCCCTTTATCTCCAAGGTTCCTTATATAATCCTCCCTCTGCTCTCCCCTTAAAATAACCCCATTTTTATCCATATCTCCCTTATTAACACCTGTTTCCTACTGTTCTTCTCTTTCAGATTCTTTCTTTTCCTTTACCTCCCTGTTTCCTTTTCATTACCCTGGTTCCTAGAATTATGTCTGGATACATACTCACTTATAAGGATTTGTTGCTAGGATCCGCATATGAAAGAGAACATACGTCGCTGGTTTTTCTGAGTCTGTGTTACTTCACTCAATTTCTCATTCCATCCATTTGCCTGAAAATTTCAGGATTTCATCTTTACTTCTGAGTAAAACTCCATCATATAAATGAACCATATTTTCATTATCCATTCGTCGGTTGAGGGACACTTAGGTTGCTTCCATCTCATAGCTATTGTGAAAAGAGCAGCAGGAAACATGGATGTACAAGTGTCTTTGGGTATATGCCAAGGAGTGGTATAACTGGGTAAAATGGTAGGTTCATTTGTAGTTTTTTAAGAGTTCTCCACACTGCTTTCCATAGGGGTTGAACAAGTTTGCAGCCCCACCAGCAGTGGATGAGCATTCTCCCTTTCCCGACATCCTCTCCAACATTTGGTATCATTTGTT